CGCGCTGGCCCGGGAAGGGGCGGGGCCTTGGACAGAAGGGGCGGGGCCTTGGACAGAAGGGGCGGGGCCTTGGACAGAAGGGGCGGGGCCTTGGACAGAAGGGGCGGGGCCTTGGACAGAAGGGGCGGGGCCTTGGACAGAAGGGGCGGGGCCTTGGACAGAAGGGGCGGGGCAACCAGCCTGAAGTGTCACTCAAAGTACACCGCGCCAGCCCCCAGGTAGCCGCACGGCACCCCCCTCAGCTTTTAGTGCTGCCCAGTGGAGCACACCGGTGGAAATTAAAGAGGCTGGGGCTCCAGCCGCTGCTGTGGTGACAGTTGGGGCCCTGGGAAACTGCCCCCTTTGCCCCCCACACCCCCATGGTCAGCAGGCCTGCCTGGGCCAGGCAGAGCAGTAGATCGGGGGCTCGTTTGGGGCACGGGGGCTGCTCTCGGTTAGGAAGCACAGAGCTGAGCTGAAGTTAACAGGTGGGCGGATGTGCCTGTGGCTGTTTGTTTGGTATGAAACTGGCCCCTGGATTCTTTAAGTGCTCCTCTCCCCTTTTCCCAAATGTCGACCAGCGAGGGCAAGTAACCGCCAGAACCTGCTCTCGAGAGAAGGGGTGGAATCCCCGTCTGCTCCCGGCATCAGATCCAGACCCCACATCCTGCGGGACAAGATGCGCAGCCCCGCACAAGTCAAGGGGCTTACCACAGCGGTATGGGAATGGACTCCGTGCAGCAGGTGAAACAAGAGGACTTTGTGATCCCTCCCGGCAATAAAATCAAGGGGTTTTTAAAGGACCCCTGAAAGGGTCCGAATTTCCAGAGCCCTCCCCTCCCCGTAGCAGGAGAGTTTCACAAAGTCTGGCCTGGGTGATGTTTCCCTAGGACTCTTGAGTCACCAACACAGGGTTCCCTGCAATCTTCCAGCTGGAGAGCTATTTATAGCCGTGCTGGGGAAAAGCTGAGCTGTCAGCAGCTGCCTCCCAGCTACTGCTTGGGCTTTCCCTGTGTTATTATGTGTGTGACTGCAGCTCTGTGGAGCCCAAGCCAGGCAGCCGGCATGGCAAGCAGGAACGCCGGGTCTATTCCAAGCAGGGCGTGTCGAATCGACACACTCCATGACTCCTCACTGACCCGCATGAGCTGTTTCACCTCCGGGCGAGGGGGCTCGCTACAGATTGCAGAGTCAGGTCTGACTCAGAGGGCCACAGAGTCAGCGTGGAGAGCCCTGGTAAACCAGAGCTAATCAGCGTCTCTCGGCCAGCGAGAGGGCGCCACGGTGTGGGGCAGGGCAGGCTATCTACCACGAAATGCTGGCGAACGCTGTGCCAGCCCCCTTAGGCAGAAGGGCCAAAGTGATGTACAGGGAGCTAAAAGGCCCAGATCCAGCCAAGCCAGGACTCTCCCCAGGGCAGGCACTGCGGAAGACAGTGGCTGAAACTAAGCGACTTAATGATCCCTCCCGGCAATAAAATCAAGGGATTTTTAAAGGACCCCTGAAAGGGTCCGAATTTCCAGAGACCTCCGCTCCCCATAGCAGGAGAGCTTCACAAAGTCTGGCCTGGGTGCCCAGAGGGCAGCCCCCAGGCTAGCTAAGACAGGCTGCTAGGGCATGTCCTGCCCAGGAGCACCGCAAGAGCAGGAGGGCACAAAGTGGCTTAAAGCCACCATGGCAGCCCGCAACTCTCAGCAGCATTCCTCCTCCCCGCACCATGGCGCAGACCACGATGCACGTGAAAAAGGAGTCACCTACTCCTGCCAACACCAGCCCCCTGGCCCATACCCCACAGCCTTCACAGTCCTCTCCCCGCCACCACACCCGGGGAAGGACACTCAAGAAAGACCCTAAAACGTCACAGACTGCACAGGGCTGACACTCCTGTCACACTGGCTGATCAGGTTAACCCGGGGTCAGGCTGACAGGCAGCAAGGAGGAAGCGGTGAACAGCCCTGCTCTTGCAAATCAGACATAGGACATTAACATGCATTTAAATAAACAAGCTTGTAACCACTCGGCTTCGCTGGAATCCTGCGCGTGCATTCCTCTCCAGCACCGCCCATGCCGCTGCACAATTACACACAAGCGGGGTGCGGGATTGCAGCGTGAGATCACACAGAGCAGAGGCAACACAGAGGTCACATCTCGGAAGCTGTAGCCAAGTGTGCAATTATGGCAAGCTGGCCACGGGAAAGGAAGCAGCGTAGGATCACGGTCTCGGAAAGAGGCAAGTCTTCGGGCTCGAGGGTACGCGGTTTAAAGGCAAGGTGCTCACAGGGCAGGCATGGTAGAGAGTTAATCTGTGCCTGTGCCGCCCTGCCCTGCCCGGTATGTAACCGCTGCAGCCTCCCCTCCTCGTCTTTGTGCGGAACAGCGTGAAGCCCCAGGTGCCGGGCGCCGCTTTGCAACATTTGTCATTCTTCATTGTTCGCAAGCTGCAGGCTCCCCTGCGGGCTGCAGCTGCCACGCACCTTCCCCACCAGAGCCCTCAGCTAGTCCCCTTTAGGGAGGTAACTGGTTAATCAGCTAGGTTCGAGCAGCGCCCCCTCCCCCCCAGCCATACTGCAAGCTGCTACAGCCTGGCCATGCCCACCGTACCAAGCTGCAGGTCGCTTCAGCTCAGCCGCGCCCACCGTGCCACGCTGCCCGGAACAGCCAGCCATACTGCAGGCTGCTACAGCCTGGCCATGCCCACCGTACCAAGCTGCAGGTCGCTTCAGCTCAGCCGCGCCCACCGTGCCACGCTGCACGGAACAGTGTCTCACTCCAGCCCAGCCAGGGCCACCCCGATTATGGGGCTAAACAGGATTTTATGTCCCTGGTTCCGTTCTGTAGCCTTATGGCACACCCGGAACCCTAACTTCTCCTCGGCTGCTACAGCCTGGCCATGCCCACCGTACCAAGCTGCAGGTCGCTTCAGCTCAGCCGCGCCCACCGTGCCACGCTGCACGGAACAGTGTCTCACTCCAGCCCAGCCAGGGCCACCCCGATTATGGGGCTAAACAGGATTTTATGTCCCTGGTTCCGTTCTGTAGCCTTATGGCACACCCGGAACCCTAACTTCTCCTCCTCTTGCAGGCAAACCCAGGCTCCTGAGGTTAGCCCCTCCCCAGGCCCAGGCCTCGCTAAGCGACCTTAGGCCAGCTGGGAGGCGCCCCTCACGAAGCGCCAGCCAAAGGGAACGACCTGGCAACGGGGTCCCTCTCCATGACCCAGAAGGCGGGTTTCATCGACAGCTGGGAGCAGTCACGCTGGGCTCCCTCTGGCGTCCCTCGCGGCGACAAAGGCTGACAGCCGGGGGGAGGCTGCGATTCTGTCCCTGTGCTCACACTCGCGGCCTACAGCAGGGGAGGCCGTGGCACTAGGTGTTCAGAGCCAGGGCAGATGTCAGAGAACCTGGTTTCTAACTGTAACTCTATCTCCCGCCCCACACAGGCCCTCTGGCGTCTGTGGAGCAGGGAGGGGACACGGCAGCTGTAGGGAAGGCCCTGTGGTTGCAGTGGGTTTGAGTCACCAATAAAACCTGGACTCGGCCAACAAGCAGTGGAGGAGCAGCCCTTGGCCCGTGGCCCTCTCTCTGCAGGGCACCTCCCCTCGGGGGAAAGCCCGGTTCCTATTAAAAGATGTGTCAGGAATCCAAGGAGGAAGGACCCGGGAGAGATCTCTCTGGCCTTCTCCATTCTCTACCTGCTGGGATCCTATTGCCTTTACACAACGGGGAGGGCGGCTACAAAACCCTTTCTGCTCATCGCCTTGGGGACGAGGGAGCCGCTCCTCTGGGATGCCATGAGCAGGAAGGAGCCCCGAAGTCCGTTGGCGGCACAGCTGAGTTTTGGCATGGACAGGGGGCTCGCTCCTCTCTCCACCCGATTCCCGGCGTTCCCAGAAGCGCTCTCCCCCAAACTCCTCCAGCCTGCCCTGCCCGAGGACACTGGGCGTGCTACCAGCTGACGGGGAAGGAGAGGAAGGCAACAGGAAGAGGGCTGGATTTTCACTGTGCATTTCCACAGCAAGCTGCAGGGGCTCTCCCCAGCTGGCAGGGGGGCTGTGAGGAAATCTCTGCCCTCGTCTCCACCGGATCTACTCTTGGTTACTCCGGGTTGTGCTGCGTTAGCTTTACCAAGAGCTGAGTCCCGGTCACGAGCTGTTCTAAGCGTGGGGACGAGCTGCCCTGCACCCCGCTGGAGCCACGAACGGGACTGGGGAGTCGGGAAATTGGGTTCTGTGGCCAGCTCTGGAGAGAGGTGGGATGCAATGCTTAGATCAGGTGACAGAGCTGGGACTCCCGGTTCTATTCCCAGTGCTACCACAGACTAGGGGACCAAAACCAAGAGCCTGTCTGTGCCTCAGTTTCCCCCATACCTCTGAAGCCACAGATACTACTTCTCAGGGAGCTGGGAAACTAGTGTCTGATGAGCACTCTTGGATCTTCAGAGAGCAGTATTGGGACAGCGAGCCCAGGGAGGGGCAGAGCCTACCTAGGAGGCGGCTCAGGAATTGAACCCAGCTCCCCAGTCCTGAGCTTCAGCCTCCAGCATATTGGTGCCCCATAAAACAAAGCTGGGAACAAGGGCCTGTCTCGTGCCCGAGCCGTTTGCTTCACCGCCAGCGAGCGCACCGGGACGCCAGGTGCCGAGGAGAGAAACTGGGCAACGTGGATACCAGCCACGGGGAATCAGCTTCAGAGCCGACAGCCTTTCAACCGCTGCCTGATTCCTAGCGCAGCCCAGATGGCCAAAAGCCGCCCAGTCGGACTTGCACAGCAAAGGCCCTGCACTTGTGTGCGACTGAGACGTCGGCCCGACCGGGAAAACGCACCACTCCCCCGGCGCTTTGTCCCCTGGTTAATCACCTGCACTGGTCAACACTTGGGCTCTCTCTCCAGCTGGAATTTCTCCAGCTTCCCTGCCAGCCATCGGTTCCGGCCTGCCTGTCCCCACAGACGTCAGAGCCCTTCACTTCCAGGGCCATTTCAGGCCCCTGCTGTGCTCTCAGCCAGCATCTGCCCGGAGATCCTACCAGACACTTCTCCAACAGGTTCCCTGGCTTTTTCCATCCCTTCGACAGTTCTGCAACATCCCTTTTAAAATGCAGCACCAGAGCCGGCCGCACGGTCCAGCACTGGCTCACCAAGGCTGGGTACGGAGGGAAAATCCCCTCCCAGCCCTGCTCACTATCCCCCCCGTTGCGACATGCGGGGTCCCGTTAGCTCTTTGGGTCTCATGGCTGCTGTGGGAGCCCTTGATGACAGCTCCTCCTCCAGCTGTGCCCCAGCCCCTGTGGAATCCCCCTGCCCAGAGAAGCCAGGCCCCCGGGCCTGAGCCCACTCACTCATGCTCTCTATGTCCAGGGAGTCGACCACGGAGCGCTTGTGCTCCTCGCTGGCGATGGCGCGCTCAAACGCCTTCTGCTTCACAATCTTGTTGCACTCCTGGTACTTCATCTTGGCATCTTTGTCGTTGGGCTTCACCTTCACCACCTGGGAAGGGAGAGCACAGAGCTGCTCACAGGTCCATGCCAGGCAGGCAGGAGAAAGGGACGGGAAGGCCGACAGAGGGCTGCCAAGGCAGGGCACCGGGACACGCAAGGCTTGGCATTAGGCTAGTGGCCGGACTCCTGGGTTCTACTGCTAGCTTTGTAGCGCAGGGCACACTGCTTACTGTCACCCAGTGAAATCACAGCAAACCCCTTAATTGGCCCCATCATTATGGCTTGGGAGAGCCGAGTGGCATGAACAACACCGCTGGGGAGGAAGGGGGGGTCATGGAGGAGCCACCGTCAGACTAAGCCAGGGAGAGGCAAAGACCACTGGCATTTAGGAAGCAAGCACACAAACTATTAATGCCCAAGGGGTACAATCAGCCAAGCCCCCACCTCTCCCAACTACATCCTGTACTACATCCCTCCGGGGGACCTCACAGACACCCAGGAACTCACAAGGGTGATGTCATGCTCGAGGTCTACTCCAGACCACCTTACCCAGGAAGAAGAGATGGATGAGGCATTTTTTTAAACAACTCACAAAATCATCCAAAGCGCAGGATTTGGTGGTGATGGGGGACTTCACCTACCCAGACAAATGCTGGGAAACTAACCCAGCAGGGCACAGATCATCCAGTAAGTTCTTAGACTGCACTGGAGACAATTTTTTATTTCAGAAGGTTGAGAAAGCCACTGGGGAGAAGCTGTTCTACGGTTGATTTTAACAAATAGGGAGGAACTGGTTGAAAGTTTGGAAGAGGAAGGCAGCTTGGGTGAAAGTGATCAGGAAATCAGAGTTCTACCATTCCGTAGAATCACGAAGGGAGTACAGCAAAATAGAGACAATTAATTTCAGTAAGGCAGATTTCAGTAAACTTAGAAAGCTGGTAGGTAAGGTCCCATGGGAAGCAAGACTAAGAGGAAACACAACTGAAGAGAGCTGGCAGTTTTTCAAAGAGACATTATTAAAGGCCCAAAGCAAACTATTCCACTGCGTAGGAAAGACAAAGTATGGCAGGAGGCCACCTTGGATCAACCAGGAGAGCTTGCTGATCTAAGCATCAAAAAGGAGTCTCATAAAAAATGGAAACTTGGTCAAAGGATATAAGCAAACAACGCAAGTATGCAGGGGCAAGACTAGAAAGGCAAAGGCACATAATAAGCTCCATCTAGCTAGAGACATAAAGGGTAACAAGAAGACATTCTACAAATGTGTAAGAAGCAAGAGGAAGACCAAGGACAGGGTAGGCCCTTTGCTCAGCGAAGAGGGAGAAACAATAACAGGAAACGTGGAAATTGCAGAAGTGCTTAATGACTTGGTTTCGGTTTTCATCAAGAAGATGGATGGTGACGGGATGCCTAACATAGTGCATGCTAGTGGGAAGGGGGTAGATTTAAAAGTTAAAAATCACTTAGAAAAGTTAGATGTCTGCAAGTCACCAGGGCCTGATGAAATACATCCTAGAATACTCAAGGAGCTGATAGAGGAGGGATCATGGAAGTCAGGAGAGATACCAGAAGACTGGAAAAGGGCAAATCTAGTGCCCATCTATAAATAGGGAAATAAGAACAACCCAGGAAACTACAGACCAGTCAGTTTAACTTCTATGCCAGGGAAGATAAATTCCTTAATTTCTTGATCCATTATCTGCAAACACCCGGAAGATAAGGTGATAGGTAACAGCCAGCATGGATTTGTAAAGAACAGATCATGTCAAACCAGTCCGATAGCTTTCTGTGATAGGATAAAAAGCCTTGTCCATAAGGGAGATGTGATGTATGTGGTATACCTAGACTTTAGTAAAGCAACTGATATGGTCTTGCATGACCTTCTTATCGATAAACTAGGGAAATACAACACAGATTGGGCTACTATAAGGAGGGTGTATAACTGGCTGGATAACCGTTCTCAGAGTAGTTATTAATGGTTCACAGTCATGCTAAAAGGATATAACAAGTGGAGTTCTGCAGGGGTCAGTTCTGGGACTGGTTCTGTTCAGGACCTTCATTAACGATTTAGATATTGGCATAGAGAGGATGCCTATTAAGTTTGCAGATGATACCAATCTGGGAGGGGTTGCAAGTGCTTTGGAGGATTGGGTCATTACTCAAAATGACCTGGACAAACTAGAGAAATGGTCTGAGGTAAATACGATGAAGTGGAATAAGGACGAATGCAAAGTGCTCCGCTGAGGAAGAAACAATCAGTCTCTCACATACAGAATGGGAAGCGACTCTCTAGGAAGGAGTCCTGCCGAAAGGGTTGTAGTGGACCACAAGCTAAATATGAGCCAACAGTGTCACACTGTGGCAAAAAAAGCAAACATGATTCTGGGCTGCATGAACAGGAGTGTGGTGAGCAAGCCATGAGAAGTCATTCTGCCGCTCTACTCTGCGCTGGTTAGGCCTCAGTTGGAGTGTTGTATCCAGTTCTGGGCACCGCATTTCGAGGAAGATGTGGAAAAATTGGAGAAGGTCCAGAGAAGAGCAACAAAAATGGTTAAAGGTCTAGAAAACATGAGCTATGAGGTCAGACTGAAGGAACTGGGCTTGTTTAGTTTAGAAAAGAGAAAACTGAGGGGAAATGATAGCGATTTTCAAGTATCTAAAAGGATGTTACAAGGAGGTGAGAGAAAAATTGTTCCCCTTAGCTGCTGAGGACAGGACAGGAAGCACTGGGCTTAAACTGCAGCAAGGGAGGTTTAGGTTGGACATTAGGAAAAACTTCCCACCTGTCAGGGTGGTTAAACACTGGAATAAATTGCCCAGGGAGGTTGTGGAATCTCCATCACTGGAGATATTAAAGAGCAGGTTGGATAGAAATCTCTCAGGGATGATCTAGCCGGTGCTTGGTCCTGCTGTGAGGGCAGGGGACTGGACTTGATGACCTCTCGAGATCCCTTCCAGTTCTACAATTCTATTTTATGATCTCCAGTGCCAGGATCTGCCGCATCCCTTCTAACCCAGCCCCCAGGCTCCGCACGGCAAGGGCAGGTCCCTCGACAGAGTCAACGGCTTTTGAGCCTGGCCCGATGGAGCCTGGGGTCAGTCTGTCAGTGATCTGGACCTTTGAAAGCACAGCAAGGATGGGACATAAATGAACTGTAATGGCTTGGGGAGGGGCGTTTCCATCCTGCGATGGCTGACTCCGGATTGCCAGCTCCAGTCAAAGGCGGAGAGGCAAGCGTGCTTCCAGCCAGCCGGACAGGTATCACACCAGCGTCTTACAGCACAATATCAATACAGCCCTGCAGCGAGCACAGAAGGGGGTGAAGAAACGGCCCCTATCTCTGCATCATGCAGCAAAGTAGGGTGTGGAGCGCCATGGGCACAGCACTTTGCAGCTGAGAGCAAGGCCCTGCCGAAAGAGCAGGTGGGACGTGGGCACATGTAGGGGAAGAAAGAAGGCGGCGCAGGAAGCTGTTTTTCTGGCCCTCACGGCACCTTTGGGAGCCAACCCACGGGACTGCCACCTTTCCCCAGGGAGACGGTTCCACAGCCTAGCAGGCCTGACCGATGGCAAACATGCCCCAGGACGGGGGCTGAAGAGTCCTCGGCTCAGTTTCATCCCACTCCCACCTGTGCCCCACCCCCATCCTTGCTACAGATGCCCTCCAAGGCTCTTTCTCCTCTCAGCTGCACCCAGGTGACTCCCAGCACTCTGGGGTGGGCGGCCAGGTGTCACCACAGGCAGGAGGCACACGGGGCGTTGTGAAGTCGGAGGGAACCCAGAGCCCCGCACCGCCCCCTGCTCGCACTCACCGTCTCGTAGTCGCGCAGGGCCGCCTTGAACTTGCCCAGGGCCATGTTGCTGGTAGCCCGCCGGTAGTAGCCTTTGATGTACTTCTTGTCCAGCTCGATGGCCTTGGTGGCATCGGCCAGGGCGTAGCCATAGCACTCTGTCCGCAGGTAGGCCAGGCTGCGGTTGCCATAGTAGATGGCATTGGTGGGATTCAGGTCGATGGCCTCGCTGTAATACTTCACGGCATTCTCGTAGTCCTTGCCTGGGGGAGCAGGGCAGAGACGGGGGGGAGGGGTGTCAGTGGGCTCTGGGGTGAGTAGAACTGAGCTGCACCGAGGGACTTGGGAGACAGGAGCATTCTCGGGGGGGAACAGATCCATTCGGGGGCAGCCATGGCAGGAAGAGGCTGCCCACAGCTCCCAAGCGCTGGTGGGGGTCGAGGGCACGAGTCAGCAGAACTGAGGTTCCCCACCAGCCAGGCTTCCAGAGGGCGTCCCCGAGCACCTTTCCCTCTCCCGCAGCGCCGCCCCACTGTGAAGTTGGCAACTAAGGGCCCATCATAAGCCCCAGGACTCCCCACAGCCCTCCGGGACCTGCATTTCTCCAGCTGTGAAGCCCGCCCCCCAGAGCTGGCTCCCCCTTCACCCGCCAGCCCGACGGCTTTGCCAGAATACGACCAGGGAGCCCATCCTACCCCACCCCCTGAAGCAGAACCACACAATAGCAGGCTGGTTGGCCCCGCTCCGCAGAGCTACACCGGGTCTCAGACAGAAAGATAAAACCTCTGAGTCTTCATCATCTGCCCCCTAGCCCCTCAGAGAGGCATTCGGGGGCACCGTGGAGGAGAGAGAGAAAGACCCTGAAGCAGAGAGCCAGGGGCCAATCAGCAAAACCAGGCCATGCTAGGAGCCAAAGTCGGGCCCTGTCTTCCAGCAGTCCACAACCCTGGCAAAGGCACTAGGTCAGGGGTGGCCAACCAGTGGCTCCAGAGCCACATGCGGCTCCTTGCACAGGTACCAAATCCAGGGCTGGAGCTACAGGTGCCAAGTTTTCACTGGGCCAGAGGGTGCTCACTGTTCAACCCCCAGCTCTGCCCTAGGCGCTGTTCCCCTCCACCCTTTCCCCCCCTAGGACTTCCGACCCTCTCCACTGAGCCTGTCACACCCCTGCTTTCCCCTTCCAGTATCTCCCACTGAGAGAGAGCGGATCCCAGTGGGCAGGAGGAAAAGGAGGCAGCGGCGCTGACTGGTGGGGCTGCCCGTGGGCAGGATGCGCTGAGAGTGGTGTGGGGGAATTAGCAGGGCTGGTGACAAAGAACTATTGCTACTGGGCAATGTGCATCGGTAAATTCTGGCTCCTTCTCAGGTTCAGGTTGGCCACCCTTGCACTAGGTGTTCATGTAGCCAACCCTAGGTCCAGCCCAACCGAGCACAAGAGAAGATGGTCCAACAGAAGGGAAGGTAACAGAAGTTTCGTTTCATCCCATAAATATCGACACAGTTCCCCTTCTTTGTACTGGTTTAGGGACTTGACATTGAATGTGCCGGTCCCTTGCCGTCAGCATGCATGCTGGGCCCCCGTGCAGTGTATGGGACGCTGATAACATGATTTGTAGACAATAAACCTGGCCGAGCCTTTCTGCCACTGAACCTAGCCTCCGGTCTTTCCACATAGCGCCACTGAGGTCCGCTGAAGTCATTCTGTGTGCAGAGCAGAGACAGCACACAGAGAACACACATGTATGCAGGCGTGCAAAGCGAACACGAGTTCAAACAGGGCAGTGGGGAAATATCTGGAATCTGTGAAGGAGGCTAACACGTAAATGTTAATGGACTAAATGCTCTCATGGGAGCCATCAGAAAATGCTAACGAATTTTGCTGAGGATACACAAATGTTTCCAACCACAAGCTGTGGGAAACCATTGAGGAGGAGGAGCAATTGCTTTTTTTTTTTTTTTAATACTACTAGACTTTGAGTATCCACACAGTTGGGGCTGATTATATTGTTGCTCAAAAGATCACTTGGGTAACTCAAAACCATTTTAAATTATCTTCCAACCTAGGAACATCACAGGGAATTGCAAAACTCCCTGGAGAGGCCCCGGCCCAACAGGAAGAAAGGATAAAACCTCCCGTGTGTCAGCAGAATGTGGAGAGACATAGCAGGTGTTTTTGAAGGAAACCATGTTGCAGTTATGGTCTTTGGGCGTGGCTGAATGGGTATAAGCTTGGTGTGAGGACGAAAGCGGACACATGCCTTTGAATGGTTGGGACATGAAGAATCAGCTGGGAAGCAGCAGGAGGAGCGGTCTATGAATGAATGGCGAATGCAGCTGGACCAGAGGAAATCGGAGGGTCTGGAATATACTCCCTGACGCTGGGGCTGGAGGAATTACGGAGTTAGCAGAGGCAGACATGCAGAAAAGGAAGGTGGATGGGAGCCGTGTAGCTCTGCAGAGCTGGGCCAACCCAAACTGCTGTTGAGGGTGGTTCCGCTTCAGGGACAGGTGTGCTGCTGAGGGAAAAGTCAGTCTCAGAGGAGAGGCTGAAAAGCTGCAGGCCCAGTTACAGACAGGCATACTCGACGGAGCCAAAGGAGGAAGAAAAAGCTATGAGAAAGGAGCCCATAACTGAAGCTGCTGCATTCACAACCAGACTTAGCGAAGCCCTGGCAAATGAAGGATGGATAGCCCACCCCGCAATTCAGAACGCGTCTGTCAACAAGCCAGGAACGTGGGTGTTTGCAAGTGTCCCCACAAGCGCGTCGGAGAGGGCCTTGTTCATTTTCTAGACACGGAATCCCAGTTGTTCCAGGTAGATATTGAAACTACCTGGTGAAAGATTCCCTACCAAGACAGGGTCTATCGGGGTTAATACACAATATGAAGCAGCGATGCTACCTCTTGAGTTTGGCATCTAATTGGGGTAAACTGTAAACCAACCGGAAATCATGACAGATTTCCCGACCACGCCTCAGGCAATGTCCATAAAGGAGGGAGTTGAAGATGGCAGTCTGATCCTAGCGACACAAGCAGTTACGGCCATCAAACTAAAAAGCAACTCTTCCCACCGGAGGGATGGAAAGCATGGGGGACTGAAATATCAGATAGGTGGGCTAAAGATCCCCTAACCATAGGAAAAGAACAGACCCTAGTTATATTAGAAGGAGATATTCCCCCCCAATACATTAAACAAGATCTGATCCCCCAAGAAGCAAAAGAATCCTTACACCAGGACACAGAACTGGAAAAACGAGGGCTTAGCGGAAGCTATTCAACCATCTATTGCTGCCCCCATCTGGCCAGTAAAGAATCCAGGCGGGACATGGAGACTGACAATTACCAAAAACTAAATAAAACAGCCAAGCGAGGGGCTCTTGTATTAGCAGCTTAACCGGAGCTGCTGCTGCTAACCCCCCCCCCCCCCCCCCAAAAAAAATTGCTTCCCTGTATTTGACACAAGAAATGATGCTCAGAGCTTGCCCTGATCCCAGATTCTCTGTCTCAAATCCCTTGTGTGTTTCAAGCACCCCCGTGTCGTTTTACCTCCGGCTATGATGACAATGCACCGACCAGACTTCATACGGCGATGAGAAAAAGAGACTTTCACAAACCGGGCGAACACTGCAGCATGCGCATTGGGTCTTAGCAGCAAGCGGGACAGGAAAAGACTGTGAAAACTTAGTGCAGCCTTTGCTGCTGTTCTGTCAAGCACCAGACCTAAAACGTAACCTTTCGAAGTCCCAATTATGAAGAAACGGGTACAGTCCTTGGGAATTACACGCAATAGAGCAGGTGGATCAATTGCCAAAGAAGAAGTGGGATGTACTGTAACCCTTCCCATGCCAATGGACACTGAATCATGGCAGGGCTTACGCATTGTTGGGTGTTTATTGTAGGATATGCAGAAAAGCAAGACCTTTGTAAGAGAGCCTTAAAAAACCCAGTGGACATGCAAGTAATACCTGGGAAAATTTAAAAAAGAGCATTAAGAGAGGCTCCTGTCTTGCTGCTCCTAATAATGATCTTTCCCAGTGTACAAAAAATTCTGCCTTGTCAGTATGATTACACTGGACACAGGGAGAAACTGCTGGACACAGGGAGAACCCACTAGCATGGTATTTAACAGCCCATGAAAGTAAATAGGGAATATGCAACCAAGCCACTTTTGCTGCCTACTGGACATTGCAGAAAGCACAAGCAATCGCAGGAGTGAGCACAATTCTTCTTAAAAGCCATGGTGCCTTAGAACAAAATACAGGACTATGTAGCACTTTAAAGACTAACAAGATGGTTTATTAGATGATGAGCTTTCGTGGACCAGACCCACTTCCTCAGATCAAATAGTGGATCTGAGGAAGTGGGTCTGGCCCACGAAAGCTCATCATCTAATAAACCATCTTGTTAGTCTTTAAAGTGCTACATAGTCCTGTATTTTGTTCTAAGGCACCATGGCTTTTAAGAAGAATTGTGCTCACTCCTGCGATTGCTTGTGCTTTCTGCAATGTCCAGTAGGCAGCAAAAGTGGCTTGGTTGCATATTCCCTATTTACTTTCATGGGCTGTTAAATACCATGCTAGTGGGTTCTCCCTGTGTCCAGCAGTTTCTCCCTGTGTCCAGTGTAATCATACTGACAAGGCAGAATTTTTTGTACACTGGGAAAGATCATTATTAGGAGCAGCAAGACAGGAGCCTCTCTTAATGCTCTTTTTTAAATTTTCCCAGGTATTACTTGCATGTCCACTGGGTTTTTTAAGGCTCTCTTACAAAGGTCTTGCTTTTCTGCATATCCTACAATAAACACCCAACAATGCGTAAGCCCTGCCATGATTCAGTGTCCATTGGCATGGGAAGGGTTACAGTACATCGAAACTGGTGAGTCAAGAAAACTGTCTGAAGGAGATGAGAGTGCAAACAAGGCTATATTGTGAACAAGTTCTAATAGGGGCAATTGGTTGCTTTCAAAGACTCAATAGAAGGTGTGACCCTAACTGGCCAAGAGCAGGTCTGTGAACCCCACAAAGTAGTAACAGCACATCCTATTTTCTAAACCGCCCCTGTGGAGCAGATGAAAGGGGAAACCATCTGGTTTATGGACTGCAGCTCATACTATCAGGAAGAAGAGTTCTGAGATTTGCAGGGACATGCAACTTGCAAGAGTATTTTCAATTTAAGTGGGAGACCACAGTTTGCAAAAGCAGCCACACTCATACTACTGCTAAAACTGATGCAAGGAAAACAAACTAAATAATTATCAGAACCAATTTGGACTGTGTCAAAGGCACTAGAATTCCCTGGTGGAGTATAATAAACTTTACCGGCACGGACAGGTCTGAGATTAAACACAAGCTACTATAGCAATGAGGAGAGAAGCTGGCAACTAATTATAACGATCA